AAGAAATGTTAAAACACTGTTTGATTTTGGAAGATCAGAATCATTGATTTCTTAAGGCTCTTGAATATGTCCTTTCCTAACTTTGTCCATGAGGGCTGTAATCAGTTTTGGCTATTTTCTTTCAGTTTTCGCTGACTACTTGACTTAAATTCTGTTTAATCTGCAAGTAAATTAATCACCAGCCATTCCCCAACTCTCTGTGAATGATATTCATGGTCTTTGATGAGTGCTTGTTGATCAATGGTCATGACATTTGCATATTAATGATCAAGGAACTGAACTGACAGCCCATTGTTCACTCAGTCACTTCGATGAGTGACGAAACCTTTCTCCCACTGAGAACGCTACGTCCAGATGAATAGAATCAACCTTTAGGGATTTACTTACCTGGATGAGCATCAAGACAGTCACCAGGAACATCGCTGCTAACTAAAGTTTGGTTTTGTTTTGTTGTTAAACCCAGAGCGCACGATGCGAGGAGCTTCACCTTCACGCAGAGAATTTGTCTCGTCGAGTTTGGGAGCTGCTCATGCTGCTTCCCACCTGTCCCAAAATGTTGCAGGCCTTCCAGAACATCTCAGATGATACGGTCAGTCAACCTGTTTAAATAAGGGCTCTTCAAGAGTCTGTTGTTGATCGGGCAAACATAGAATAACTAAATTCGCTTTTAATTTTGTGTTTTTATTTTGTCTGAAGAATGGCGAGGGTTTGTGTTGGAAGGAGCTGCTGAGGATTAAAAGTCCTCACAAGCTGCTGTACGCTCTAGAGATCATCGAGGCTCTGGGAAAGCCCAATCGACGCATCCACAGAGAGTCAACAGTAAGACAGATAAAGGATTGATGGCCTCTTTCTGTCCGCAGGATCCGCTGCCAAGTGTGGAATCTGTAGATGTTAATATAGGGACACGAGTCGATTTAAAACAAATTAACTAAATGGTAGCACCGTTTACTGCGACTATAGTCTGACTGTAGACACTTTTGTTTTTTAAATTGAGCTACAACTTGTAATGCCAAATATATTTAAATGTAAAGTCACTAAAATCAATATGCTGGGTACTAGGGCTGCCACAAAC